ATTAATTGTAATGGTAGCTGATTGTGTTTAATGTCGTACAGGCTTTTATGTGGCAAATCAGAATAAATCATGCAATACACTAAAAATAAAATACTCAAACTATCTTTGGAATTAACAGCATTTGAGATTAAACAGGTTCAATTTAAAAAAATCAGGGGAGGGGGGGGGAAAGACTTTTGCCCACGGGTGTATATGTTTACGTAAAAAAAATTTATATGATTAAATCAAATTATATCCTCAAATCATTTTTAGACTTTTGATGACTTAAAAGAAAATGCTCTGAGTACTGTTCGACATGCTGAATTTGGTATTCCAAGTTGTAATTTTGCTGCAAATGAATCAGCTCATATTGGCAAACGGCTCATACCATTTCTTAGCACTTATATGTCTCATTTACAAACATTACGTCTTTGGAGACCTGATGATTTTCCTTGGACATCAAGTAAGATTTTTTTTAATTTTAATTCTAAGTAATATTTAATTAAATTATAGTAGTTATTAGGGAAAGAAAATCTCGTCTCTTGATGTATGCTTACTAATCATTTATCTTTATTTTCAGATGATAGAGCAAATGGAGAGGACTGAAGAATGTCAGATGTCATGTACTGTTTTGTTTTTGGTCGACAGTAGAAATATATTCAATAGTAATATAAAGATATCTTGTTAAAAAATTAAACAAATTATTTACTATTTCTGAGTTGACAGATTTGTTAGACAAATATCTGAAATTTTGGTCAAAGAACTATAAAAATATATCCAGTATATTTTATTTCATTTACGAACATTGATTAAATATGATTGTCTTATTTTTCGGACTATTTTATAAAGGCGTATCTCCTACTTATAGCAGAGCAGGCTTGATGTATTGGAAAAAAAATTTCTATAATTGACACATATCATCAGCTTATATAATTTTGTGTTTATTTTATTTGACAAAACGCAAAACTGATATAATATGTTTAGAAAACGACTAGACAGATTAAAATTAATAGCTGAGTTGTCTCTTTTTC